TAAGACAGGTTTAACATGAGAAGTAAAGTACAGGTATTTGAGTTCAACATGTAAGAAGTAGAAAGTACAGGTATTTGAGTTCAACATGTAAGAAGTAGAAAGTACAGGTATTTGAGTTCAACATGTAAGAAGTAGAAAGTACAGGTATTTGAGTTCAACATGTAAGAAGTAGAAAGTACAGGTATTTGAGTTCAACATGTAAGAAGTAGAAAGTACAGGTATTTGAGTTCAACATGTAAGAAGTAGAAAGTACAGGTATTTGAGTTCAACATGTAAGAAGTAGAAAGTACAGGTATTTGAGTTCAACATGTAAGAAGTAGAAAGTACAGGTATTTGAGTTCAACATGTGAGAAGTAGAAAGTACAGGTATTTGGTTCAACATGTAAGAAGTAGAAAGTACAGGTACTTGAGTTCAACATGTAGAAGTAGAAAGTACAGGTATAATGAGTTCAACATGTAAGAAGTAGAAAGTACAGGTATTTGTGTTCAACATGTGAGAAGTAGAAAGTACAGGTATTTGTGTTCAACATGTAAGAAGTAGAAAGTACAGGTATTTGAGTTCAACATGTAAGAAGTAGAAAGTACAGGTATTTGGGTTCAACAGGTAAGGAGTAGAAAGTACAGGTATTTGTGTTCAACATGTAAGAAGTAGAAAGTACAGGTATTTGAGTTCAACATGTAAGAAGTAGAAAGTACAGGTATTTGAGTTCAACATGTAAGAAGTAGAAAGTAAAGGTATTTGAGTCAACATGTAAGAATAGAAAGTACAGGTATTTGAGTTTCAACATGTAAGAAGTAGAAAGTAACAGGTATTGAGTTCAACATGTAAGAAGTAGAAAGTACAGGTATTTGAGTTCAACATGTGAGAAGTAGAAAGTACAGGTATTTGAGTTCAACATGTAAGAAGTAGAAAGTACAGGTATTTGAGTTCAACATGTAAGAAGTAGAAAGTACAGGATTTGAGTTCAACATGTAAGAAGTAGAAAGTACAGGTATTTGAGTTCAACATGTGAGAAGTAGAAAGTACAGGTATTTGTGTTCAACATGTGAGAAGTAGAAAGTACAGGTATTTGTGTTCAACATGTAAGAAGTAGAAAGTACAGGTATTTGAGTTCAACATGTAAGAAGTAGAAAGTACAGGTATTTGAGTTCAACATGTAAGAAGTAGAAAGTACAGGTATTTGTGTTCAACATGTAAGAAGTAGAAAGTACAGGTATTTGGGTTCAACATGTGAGAAGTAGAAAGTACAGGTATTTGAGTTCAACGTGTAAGAAGTAGAAAGTACAGGTATTTGGGTTCAACATGTGAGAAGTAGAAAGTACAGGTATTTGGGTTCAACATGTGAGAAGTAGAAAGTACAGGTATTTGAGTTCAACATGTGAGAAGTAGAAAGTACAGGTATTTGAGTTCAACATGTAAGAAGTAGAAAGTACAGGTATTTGGGTTCAACATGTAAGAAGTAGAAAGTACAGGTATTTGAGTTCAACATGTAAGAAGTAGAAAGTACAGGTATTTGAGTTCAACATGTAAGAAGTAGAAAGTACAGGTATTTGAGTTCAACATGTAAGAAGTAGAAAGTACAGGTATTTGTGTTCAACATGTAAGAAGTAGAAAGTACAGGTATTTGAGTTCAACGTGTAAGAAGTAGAAAGTACAGGTATTTGTGTTCAACATGTAAGAAGTAGAAAAGTACAGGTATTTGAGTTCAACATGTGAGAAGTAGAAAGTACAGGTATTTGAGTTCAACATGTAGAAGTAGAAAGTACAGGTATTTGAGTTCAACATGTGAGAAGTAGAAAGTACAGGTATTTGAGTTCAACATGTAAGAAGTAGAAAGTACAGGTATTTGATTGTTCAACATGTAAGAAGTAGAAGTACAGGTATTGAGTTCAACATGTGAGAAGTAAGATAGTACAGGTATTTGAGTGTTCAACATGTAAGAAGTAGAACGTACAGGTATTTTGAGTTCAACATGTAAGAAGTAGAAAGTACAGTATTGTGTTCACATGTAAGAAGTAGAAAGTACAGGTATTTGTGTTCAACATGTAGAAGTAGAAAGTACAGGTATTTGAGTTCAACATGTAAGAAGTAGAAAGTTACAGGTATTTGGGTTCAACATGTAAGAAGTAGAAAGTACAGGTATTTGAGTTCAACATGTGAGAAGTAGAAAGTACAGGTATTTGTGATTCAACATGCTAAGAAGTAGACAGTACAGGTATTTGTGTTCAACATTGTAGAAGTAGAAAGTACAGGTATTTGGGTTTCAACATGTAAAGAAGTAGAAAGTACAGGTATTTGAGTTCAAACAGTGTAAGAAGTAGAAAGTACAGGTATTTGATGTCAACATGTGAGAAGTAGAAAGTACAGGTATTTGTGTTCAACATGTGAGAAGTAGAAAGTACAGGTATTTGTGTTCAACATGTAAGAAGTAGAAAGTACAGGTATTTGAGTTCAACAGTGATAAAGTAGAAAGTACAGGTTATTTGTGTTCAACATGTAGAAGTAGAAGTACAGGTATTTGAGTTCACAGTGTAAGAAGTAGAAAGTACAGGTATTGTGTTCAACATGTAAGAAGTAGAAAGTACAGGTATTTGTGTTCAACATGTAGAAGTAGAAAGTACAGTATTTGAGTTCAACATGTAAGAAGTAAAGTACAGGTATTTGTGTTCAACATGTAAGAAGTAGAAAGTAACAGGTATTTGTGTTCAACATGTAAGAAGTAGAAAGTACAGGTATTTGTGTTCAAACATGTAAGAAGTAGAACAGTAAGGTATTGTGTTCATCATGTGAGAAGTAGAAAGTACAGGTATTTGATGTTCAACATGTGAGAAGTAGAAAGTACAGGTATTTGAGGTTCAACATGTAAGAAGTAGAAAGTACAGGTATTTGAGTTCAACATGTAAGAAGTAAGAAGTACAGGTATTTTGAGTTCAACATGTAAGAAGTAGAAAGTACAGGTATTTGTGTTCAACATGTAGAGAAGTAGAAAGTACAGGTATTTGTGTTCAACATGTAAGAAGTAGAAAGTACAGGTATTTGGTTCAACATGTAAGAAGTAGAAAGTACAGGTATTGTGAGTTCAACATGTAAGAAGTAGAAAAGTACAGGTATTTGAGTTCAACATGTAAGAGAAGTAGAAAGTACAGGTATTTGTGTTTCAACATGTAAGAAGTAGAAAGTACAGGTATTTGTGTTCAACATGTAAGAAGTAGGAAAGTACAGGTATTTGAGTTCAAACATGTAAGAAGTAGAAAGTACAGGTATTTGTGTTCAACATGTAAGAAGTAGAAAGTACAGGTATTTGTGTTCAAATGTAAGAAGTAGAAAGTACAGGTATTGTGTTCAACATGTAAGAAGTAGAAGTACAGGTATTTGAGTTCAACATGTAAGAAGTAGAAAGTACAGGTATTTGTGTTCAACATGTAAGAAGTAGAAAGTACAGGTATTTGAGTTCAACATGTAAGAAGTAGAAAGTACAGGTATTTGATGTTCAACATGTGAGGAAGTAGAAAGTACAGGTATTTGAGTTCAACATGTAATAAGTAGAAAGTACAGGTATTTGTGTTCAACATGGAGAATTAGAAGTACAGGTATTTGGTTCAACATGTGAGAAGTAGAAAGTACAGGTATTGAGTTCAACATGCTAAGAAGTAGAAAGTACAGGTATTTGTGTTCAACATGTAAGAAGTAGAAAGTACAGGTATTTGAGTTCAACATGTAAGAAGTAGAAAGTACAGGTATTTGGTTCAACATGTAAGAAGTAGAAAGTACAGGTATTTGGTTCAACATGTGAGAAGTAGAAAGTACAGGTATTTGAGTTCAACATGTGAGAAGTAGAAAGTACAGGTATTTGAGTTCAACATGTAAGAAGTAGAAAGTACAGGTATTTGAGTTCAACATGTAAGAAGTAGAAGTAAAAGAAAGTACAGGTATTTGAGTTCAACATGAAGAAGTAGAAAGTACAGGTATGAGTTCAACATGTAAGAAGTAGAAAGTACAGGTATTTGGTTCACCATGTAGAAGTAGAAAGTACAGGTATTGTAGTTCAACATGTAGAAGTAGAAAGTACAGGTATTTGTGTTCAACATGTAAGAAGTAGAAAGTCAGGTATTTTGTTCAACATGTGACGAAGTAGAAAGTACAGGTATTTTGGTTCAACATGTAAGAAGTAGAAAGTACAGGTATTTGAGTTCAACATGTAAGAAGTAGAAAGTACAGGTATTTGTGTTCAACATGTAAGAAGTAGAAAGTACAGGTATTTGGGTTCAACATGTGAGAAGTAGAAAGTACAGGTATTTGCGTTAACATGTAAGAAGTAGAAAGTACAGGTATTGATGTTCAACATGTACGAAGTAGGAAAGTACAGGTATTTGGTTCAACATGTAAGAAGTAGAAAGTACAGGTATTTGAGTTCAACATGTCAGAAGTAGAAAGTACAGGTATTTGTGTTCAACATGTAGAAGTAGAAAGTAAGGTATTTGTGTTCAACATGTAAGAAGTAGAAAGTACAGATATTTGTGTTCAACATTAAGAAGTAGAAAGTACAGGTATTTGAGTTCAACATGTAAGAAGTAGAAAGTACAGATATTTGTGTTCACATGTAAGAAGTAGAAAGTACAGGTATTTGAGTTCAACATGTAAGAAGTAGAAAGTACAGGTATTTGTGTTCAACATGTAAGAAGTAGAAAGTACAGGTATTTGAGTTCAACATGCGAGAAGTAGAAAGTACAGGTATTTGAGTTCAACATGTAAGAAGTAGAAAGTACAGGTATTTGAGTTCAACATGTAAGAAGTAGAAAGTACAGGTATTTGAGTTCAACATGTAAGAAGTAGAAAGTACAGGTATTTGAGTTCAACATGTAAGAAGTAGAAAGTAAAAAGTGGTCATAAAAATAAGTAGTGGAGTAAAGTACTGATACCAGAAACATGTACTTAAGTACAGTAACAAAGTATTTGTACTCCACTACTCCTCTGATTATATTTCTCCACCAGATCTCACCTCCCAGTACTCTGAACTTCACGTCTTCTTTCAGAGCCGAGCCACAGATCCTGCAGATGAAGTCGTTTCTCACCGTGGCCGATTCTGTGGCTCCGGGTGCATGAACTCGGATGTGGTGAAACCCTAAAGTCCAGGAAACAAACTCTCATTGTCTATAAATGCTACTTGTCTGAGCTTAAAAAACATCTTGCCATATTTGACCTGCCAAAGGGGGATTTCCAGATTGCAAACGTTATGTTTTATGTTGTCTTGTGTCTATGAATGCTAATTGTCTGAGCTTGAATTGAAAGATTGCAACCTTTATGATGTTGTTAGCATGCCGGCTAATACCTGCAGTCCAGGAAACAAACTCTTACTGTCCATGAATGTTAATTGTCTGAGCTTGAAAAGACACAACATCTTGCCATATTTGACCTGCAAAAGGGAAGATTTCAAGATTGCAAACGTTGTGTTTTATGTTGTCTTGTGCCGTTAGCATGCCGGCTAGCATGTGTTGAAAGCCTACGGTCCAGGAAACAAATGAATGCTGATTGTCTGAGCTTGAATTTCCTGATTGCAACTTCTAGGATGTTGTTAGCATGCCGGCTAATACCTGCAGAGCAAGGGCACTCCTCATCGCTGCAGAGGAACCGAGCGCCCTGGGTGTATTTGGTGACTCTCGTTATGGCGATGACTAAACCCTCCATGGAGACCGGCCTCATGGCCCCGTTCCCCCGAGGAAAACTACAAAGGTCCAACGAGTACTCTGGGAACGGAGGAAGGTGAGTGAACTTCAGGATCACATTCACCTGGGGAGCAATTAGAAAACACACCTTGTTACAGGACTGATGCTGTGGGAGGGAAATGTCCTGTCAAATGATCATCATTTAAAACATATGGTCTTATACTCTGATTGCCTTTCACACTGTTACATTGTATTTGCAGTCTTGTATGTGTTTAACAGAGACACATGTTAAGGGTTTACATTTCAGGAGGCAAAGGAAGTAAAGCTGGATTCACAAAGGGTTAAAGACTGGGGGGTTTAATGGCTTGATGATGGGATGGAGGAGCAGCTGTTTCCTCTCATGAATACACAGAGACTTCGTTATCCTCTGAGGATGAAGTAGCTCTGTTCCTGCATTGAGATCCATTTCACTTGTTTATTGACTTTCTTTATTACTTTATTAAATATAACAAAAGACAAACTTTGTCCATAAATCCTTTATCAGTTTATTTTAAGAATTTCCTCCACAGGAAACAGCTTCAGCTTTTATTCATACCTGACTCTCTGTGTGGATCTTATCGAGAAGTGAAAGAGTCTTTATGGCCAGGAAGCAAACCTGAGAGAGGAATTAGGAAAAATGAGTGAACCTCACAGGAGAAGAAGTGTGTGTAGGCAGCAGGAAACAAGCAAGGTCACTGAGAGGCTGAGGGCCTGATTGCTATTGTATGGCACGCTATCAAAAAAGTACTTTCTGGGATCAAAATTGCAGTGAATAATAATGTAGTTTAATGAAAAATGAGATGATCAACTTATTTTAGATAGACATTAATAATAATCAAAGCAATCCTAAAGCTTGCGGTCAACAAAAAATACAACGACCCTGTCACCCTCTCTTCCACACACACACACACACACACACACACACACACACACACACACACACACACACACACACACACACACACACACACACACACACACACACCACACACACACACACACACACACACACACACACACACACACACACACACACACACACACACACACACACACCTCACCATATCCATGTGACCCAAACCAACTAACCCATTGCGATCAAACAAATATCTTATAATAATACAAACCATTACCCAAATATAAACTAGCACAAAACGAATTTGTATTCAAACAAAATGCATTTATTTCTACGTTTCATGGCTCCTACAATGTGTTTGAACTCTTAGTTAACTCTCAGTTTGTCCACTTACAGACTGAAACAGTGCAGTTGCTGTGAGAGGATCCTGCAGAACACAGTCTCCCAGCTCAGGATCCACCTCGATCACATCTGAGGGATTCACACTGATGCAGAACCTGTAGACCGCCTCCATCTGCTGCGGCTCTGCAGAGGAGAGGGACAGCTACATCTTACCTGTAAAGTAACTTGAACCTCACATGAGTATTTCCATTTAATTCTACTTTATACTTCTACTCCACTACTTTTAAAAGGGAAATAAAGTAATTGTATTCACTAAATGTATTTAAAAGCGTTATATACAGTACAAGCATTTCTAACAATTAAACTAGTGGATAAACCCTTTCAGTCACAAAAGTCAAATTATTTAAATATTTTACAAAAAGTAAATCAGTAGTTTGTCTTTCTAACAGTAAAATGCTCGTTAATGCAAAAAACTATTACCTAGAAATGTCACATATATAAACATATTTACACATAAAGGCCATGATTACTTTTACTTTTTATACTTTAAGTACATTTAGCTGATTTGTACTTCCACCACTGCTTATTTGCCAGTGCCAGAGACACATATCCATTATATGTAAAGATAACGGACACAAAAGTATTCTGAATCCAAATATGTAATGTAGTTTAACCATGAGTTTAACCAGTGTTTTTAGCTTTTAATGCTACTAACGTTAGCTTGACGTAAGCAAGCTAAGCTAACAGTTAGCATTATTATTATTATATTTTCTCCTCACCGTTAAAAGGTCTGCAGTCTTCTCCCAGTCTCTGAAGTCCTCCACTTCTGTCTAAATACACCAGAACCGACTCTTTTAAGGACAAAATGTCACTCATTGTGTGTTAATTATAAATATATATATATTCTTAAAATCTTTAAATGACAGCTCGAATTCGCGGGCTAACTTCACGGTACCATGGTAACAACTCAAAGGACCAGGATGTGGTGAGATTAAATGTACGATTAAATACAAATATAAAATAATATAATACATACTTAATAAATATATTGAAATGAAAAAATATATACAATTATTTAATCTAAAATAATTTAATCTCAAATTACTACACATACTATATTATTAGTAATAAATACAAAGAACGTTTTTTAACTGCCACTTTTTGTTGACAGAAACAGTGACACTGGTGTGCGCGCGCTCGAATTGCTAAAGGACCCGGATGTTATGCGATTAAATGTACGATTAAATACAAATATTAAATAATATAAAACACATTTAATAAATATATTGAAATAAGAGAAAATATATTAAATGATTTACTGTAATTGTTTAACATTTTTAAGATAATACACAGATGTGTAGTAAATACAAAGGCCGTTTTTTGTAAAACGGCCACCTTTTACACTGGTGACCACTCCAACTGCCAAAGGACCCGGATGTAATGTGATTTAATGTATGACTAAGTACGAATATAAATATTAAAACATATTTAATAGTTATATTGAAATAAGAAAATATATAAAATGATTTAATGCAAAAAACCTTAATTCCAAGTCACTACGCAACATACATTATTAGTAATAAATACAAAAACACGCTTTTGTTATATATTTTTTATTAATGTGCAGGAATATAGGCCTACTTAGCAAAGCATTGTGGATTTCTAATTTCTGCAATCATGAATAAATGCATTAAGGCAAAGAATAGAAAACATAAACAACCCAATATAAAAACTAAATATTTAAAGACAAACAGAAGTAGAAATGTTTCTACAAATGTGACCTATAAACCAAAAATGCATTATTCAGCGGTCTCAAGTAATCCCTATTTCCAGCGTAGTTAAAATGAATAAGACACATGAGTGTATTTCTTTTTTACAGTAATTACATGGACCAACACATTTCCATGTCAAATGGTGTGATTTAAAGTCCAGTTGGTTGTTCAAGTGTTCATTTAAGGGACAATTTAAGGCTTTATAAAGTTTTAGAAACCACCAGAAATATAACAGTAATAGAGGATGTCCTTTTAAAAATATCATCTGTTATATTATATAAATACAAATTTATAAAAAAGCACATCTGGCACATTTTGTTTTCCAACCCCACATGTTTAAGTGCTGTTTATTTCAAGCTGCTTTGGCGTCAGAGGACAGGTTATTGATCCGTGGAACTCTTCTTCCCTTTAGTCAAAAGGAGTTATTGTGACGGTTAAGGCGAACGAAACAAAGATCGTTTTAGAGAAAAGAGTCATCGGACGCCGGTGCGTAAGAGAAACCAACGAAGGCGTCGTCTGCCTCCATCACGCTGGCGTTTACGATGGAAAGATCCTGAGACCAGCAGATGGAGTTTGGCACAGATTCGTCCGTAAATTCGGGGTCAAAGTTTGAGATATCGTAGCAGGAACTCTGTGGAAACATCAGGGAGAGAGAGGGGGGTGAGTACAGACTATAGATGAGAGTAACACCTACGTCACTTCTGGGCGAAAATTACGGCCCCGCCCACTTTTGGGGGAAAACAAAGCGGTCATTTGAACGGCGGTCAATACAAATTCAGAAGTTTTTGCCAATCCGATCAGAAATGTAAGAAAACCGTGGATTTTTGGATCTTCAAAGAGTCCGATTACGATGGCCAGTCAGGCAAACAATTACAATAAATCATTTGAAATCGAAGATCGGGCTCGATATATGGTTCAATTGAAATCAGTAGGCGAGGCTGTGATTTTCGCCAGCTGTTCCTCTCATGAGCGAGGCGGAAAATAATAGTTTTATCAGCCAAAACGCTGCTGTGTCGTTTATTGCTCCTCAAACATTAAAACAGATCCAGAGTTACGTGTTTCTGAACTTCCTCTAAGAAGAAAGGGCAGTAACAGAAGAGCTCTGTGGCTCTGATTGCCGTTCAAATGACAGCGTTGGTTTTCCTCAAAAGTGGGCGGGGCCGTAAAGTGACGTAGATGTTACTCTCATCAGTCCTTACCACCAGCTGCTCGTGCAGTGATAAGCAGCACCTACTGTCCTGATGTGCTCAATGTAGAGACTGCTTTTCCCTCTTTTGTTTTCTTAGTTGTGTTCTCTGTATTTTATATGTCTGTGTTACGTGTGAGAACGTGTAATGTTGCTGCCTTCTTGGCCAGGTCAGCATTGAAAATAAGATTGTATTTCAATGCTTTGATCTGGTTAAATAAAGGTTAAATAAAAAAATTAATCTATGGACATCGATCGCCTACTGCTATATTTAACCATATATCGAGCCCGATCTTTGATTTCTAATGATTTATTGTAATTGTTTGCCTGACTGGCCATCGTAATCGGACTCTTTGAAGATCCAAAAATCCACGGTTTTCTTACATTTCTGATGGGATTGGCAAAAACTTCAGAATTTGTATTGACCGCCGTTCAAATGACCGCTTTGTTTTCCCCCAAAAGTGGGCGGGGCCGTACTTTTTGCCCGGAAGTGACGCATGTGTTACTCTCGTGGTGAATTCATTAAAAGGGACTTAATTTGACGACAAAAAAGCTGTTACAAAGTGCTTTAAAATTAGATAAAACAATTAGGAGTCAATTCAGGGTTCCCACAACAAGTCAAGTTACATTTCATACTTTTTTTACTCCATATAAATGTAATTAAATAACAGTTTTACTATTTTTTATCACACTAATGAATTCAAAGAACCCCTATAGCTGGCCAGCTCTGTTGTGATTCTGATTTTAAAAAACTGATAAAACCATATTTATTTACTTAATTTCTGCTAATGTTTTGGGTTTCCCTTTAAAGGATGGTTAGCCACTGTTAATTAGAAACACCTGTGTGTATGTAATGTATTTAAATCAAAATTGAAGTAAAAACTGTAGAATATTTACCACATTGGGCGTAAATGGAGGAGGGATCTTCTTCTGCTCCAGGTCGTCCCAGTTGATGGAGGAGAAGAAGTCGTGAGCTTTAATTTCATTCTGGAAACGTAGAAAATAAACATCATATTTACCAGTTTGTTTACGGAAAGCTGAGGGTAATTCACATGTTGACCACCAGAGGGAGCCCACACAGTCAAGCTTTAATGTGGTGTGTGTTTACCTCTGCTTTAATGTGTGTGTGTGTGTGTGTGTGTGTGTGTGTGTGTGTGTGTGTGTGTGTGTGTGTGTGTGTGTTTCAGTGTCTAACTCTGCTTTAATGTGATATATGTGTGTGTGTATGTGTGTGTGTGTGTGTGTGTGTGTGTGTGTGTGTGTGTGTGTGTGTGTGTGTGTTTCAGTGTCTAACTCTGCTTTAATGTGATATGTGTGTGTGTGTGTGTGTGTGTGTGTGTGTGTGTGTGTGTTTCAGTGTCTAACTCTGCTTTAATGTGATATATGTGTGTGTGTGTGTGTGTGTGTGTGTGTGTGTGTGTGTTTCAGTGTCTAACTCTGCTTTAATGTGATATGTGTGTGTGTGTGTGTGTGTGTGTGTGTGTGTGTGTGTGTTTCAGTGTCTAACTCTGCTTTAATGTGATATATGTGTGTGTGTGTGTGTGTGTGTGTGTTTCAGTGTCTAACACTGCTTTAATGTGATATATGTGTGTGTGTGTGTGTGTGTGTGTGTGTGTGTGTGTGTGTGTGTGTGTGTTTTCAGTGTCTAACTCCGCTTTAATGTGATATATGTGTGTGTGTGTGTGTGTGTGTGTGTGTGTGTTTCAGTGTCTAACTCTGCTTTAATGCGATATATGTGTGTGTGTGTGTGTGTGTGTGTGTGTTTCAGTGTCTAACTCCGCTTTAATGTGATATATTGTGTGTGTGTGTGTGTGTGTGTGTGTGTGTGTGTGTGTGTGTGTTTCAGTGTCTAACTCTGCTTTAATGTGATATAGGTGAGTGTGTGTGTCTGCTCTCCAGAGTGTGTGTGTCTGCTCTCCAGAGTGTGTGTGTCTGCTCTCCAGAGTGTGTGTGTCTGCTCTCCAGTGTGTGTGTGTGCTCTCCAGAGTGTGTGTGTCTGCTCTCCAGAGTGTGTGTGTCTGCTCTCCAGAGTGTGTGTGTCTGCTCTCCGGAGTGTGTGTCTGCTCTCCGGAGTGTGTGTGTCTGCTCTCCAGAGTGTGTGTGTCTGCTCTCCAGAGTGTGTGTCTGCTCTCCCAGAGTGTGTGTGTCTGCTCTCCAGAGTGTGTGTGTCTGCTCTCCAGAGTGTGTGTCTGCTCTCCAGAGTGTGTGTGTCTGCTCTCCAGAGTGTGTGTCTGCTCTCCAGAGTGTGTGTGTCTGCTCTCCAGAGTGTGTGTCTGCTCTCCAGAGTGTGTGTCTGCTCTCCAGAGTGTGTGTGTCTGCTCTCCGGAGTGTGTGTGTCTGCTCTCCAGAGTGTGTGTGTCTGCTCTCCAGAGTGTGTGTCTGCTCTCCGGAGTGTGTGTCTCTGCGCTCTGTGTGTGTGTCTGCTCTCCGGAGTGTGTGTCTGCTCTCCGGAGTGTGTGTCTGCTCTCCAGAGTGTGTGTCTGCTCTCCAGAGTGTGTGTCTGCTCTCCAGAGTGTGTGTCTGCTCTCCAGAGTGTGTGTCTGCTCTCCAGAGTGTGTGTGTCTCTGCGCTCTGTGTGTGTGTCTGCTCTCCGGAGTGTGTGTGTCTGCTCTCCGGAGTGTGTGTCTGCTCTGTGTGTGTGTCTGCTCTCCGGAGTGTGTGTCTGCTCTGTGTGTGTGTCTGCGCTCTGTGTGTGTGTCTGCTCTGTGTGTGTGTCTGC